TAAGGAAAGCTTAGCGTAAAGCGACGCTTAACTATTGCGGTGCAAACGGGCATAAGAGTTTTAAACATGTAAGATGACAATGACAGTTTATTGGTGTAAGTTGATGTTTAAGAATGATTTATTTTGTGAGTTTTTAAGGATCATCTTCATTCGGGTTTAGCCACACGTCTCTCAATACGGCTAAACCCGAATTATTCTAATTCTAGGTCTTGTATTAGCTCTAGTGCAAAACCAAAACTAACACTAGACCGAAAACTAACACCGTCTTGAGACACTTGCGACTAAATCCGTATGTTTCTAGGTCTTGTGTTAGTTCATTAAAAATATAGAATAACCTGACGCTGAATAACAACTAAAATTAGAATCACTAGAACTAACACTAAATCTAGAACTAAAAACATTCGGATTTAGCCCAACGTCTCCCAAGACGGCTAAACTCGAATGATTCTAGTTCTACATAGGTCTTGCGTTGGTTCTAGTAATAGTGCTAGTGTAAAACTAGAATTCACCAATAGAGAATTCACCGAAGTTAATTTTCAAGGTTGGTAGACAGGGCTAAATTCCATCCTTAAATTAATTTTTTCATATTGGGGACTAGACTTCCAGTCGGCAGATACAAAATCAGAATCGAATGACATATAGATCATGATCATCTTGTACATCGTTTACGAGTTATCACCACTTACAAAGGTCTTTTTTGTGTTATTTTCGTGTATCTTCGCATTATTTTGGCGTTTTAACGGAATTCGAAATAGATTTCGAATCGGGCATTTCCACTTTGGTATTGGCCAAAGATTAAGCTTTCGAATGAGACATTGTTTATCGAAATCGGTTGACTGGTTCTCTTGTTATAATCAAAATACTATACATGTAAAATCCTATCTAATTGGGGGCTAGCTTCGCATAGGTGTAAAACCACGATTTCATCTAATTTACACCTTTTAGAACTTGCCTCCATATTTACGCATCTGACAGCAAAACTGTAAGAGAGTAATATTGTTAAGAATAAGATTTGCTACAACTTTTATAATAAAACTTTTTTTCTAAAATGTTCTAAATCCCGTGCTTTACCAACAATACAACGTAAAACCACGATTTCATCTAATTTTCACCTTTTCGAACTTGTCTCGATATTTATGCATCTGAGAGCAAAAGTGTAAAAGAGCAATACTGTTAAGAATAAAGTTAGCTACAACTATTATAATAAAACGTTCCGATTCGTGTGCTCTAGCAACAAGATGTAAAACAACTATTTCATTAAATTTTCGCTTTTTAGAATTTTTCTCGATATTTATGCATCTGAGAGTAAAAGTGTAAAAGAGCAATACTGTTAAGAATAAAGTTAGCTACAACTTTTATACTAAAACTTTTTTTCTAAAACGTTCTGAATTCCGCGCTCTACCAACAACTAAATGTAAAACCACGATTTTATCTAATTTTGAAAAAGAGAGCCAAAATGAAAAAGAGCAATTTTGTTAAAAACGAAGTTAGCTACAACTTTTATATTAAAACTTTTTCTGTACAACATTCCGAATCACGTGCTCTACCAACAACAATATGTAAAACAACCATTTCATTTAATTATAATATTTTCGATTTTTTCGCGATATTAATGGGAAACAATCGAGATTATGCATTTTGTGACTTCGATAGAAGAAACTATGGAGAATCGAATGACGTAGAGATTTTGATTATCGAGAACATCGTTTACAAGTTATGCCCCCTAAAAAAGGTCATTTTGTGTTATTTTCGTGAACTATGCCAATATTTTAGTAGGTTAGCGAAATTCGAAAAAGATTTCGATTCGGGAATTTCCACTTGCCTATTGGCCAAGGATTAAGCTTTCGAATAAGATATTGTTCATCAAAATCGGTAGAAAGGTACTCTTGTTATAATCAAAATACTATACAAGTAATAATTATGTAAAGCCAGAAATTATGTGGTTATTTAAAGTTTAAAAATAATCTTTTTTTTTGTATTTTACCTAAATCACTCGTACAGAAAGCGTGTGCCAATTCTTCGCCAGTGCAAGGTCTACATTCTGAAAAAAAGAAACAAAATCAATATTAATATATGAATCAATTTAGTTTCAACTTAGGCATATATTTAAATAATAATTTTACAAGGTCGTCGAGGACGTGTATGTAAATTCCTCAAAAAATAAAAGAAATTAACGCAACCTATGTTGGAACGGATAAATTTTTAGCTGTTCGATTTACATTCACCGCCTTCGAATGTTTACATACATATACGGAGTCATTCTTTTTCGCCTTACCTTCTGATGGGTCGTAGCCAGTAGCTCCTTTAGGCAAAGGTTGCAAGTCGTATTCAATGTCAGCAACTCTCTTGTCGACACTGTCCGGATCACTCGCTTCTACGTACAGAGCGACCGCACCATTTTTGCTGTTGAAGCATCTGCGATAAGAGAAACGTTTAGATTTGCTGTCGTTCCAACACCAAAAAAGACAAAACTTACCGGACAGCCTTCGTCCCAACATGTTGGTTGGCGTAAAGTGGATGCAAAGATCTTGGCCCCTCGAGGAAAACGCGAGCGGCTACATCTTTACCACCGTCGTGATGTAGCTTTATACAAGCTCTAAATTCTCTATCTTGTGCTGGTATCCTTAAAAGAATCCTT